TCTGTGATTCTGTGATTCTGTGATTTAATTATTAGACAGAAAGCAGAAAAGATGATTCCTTTCTTGGTGGGAAGGTGTGAGGGATGGCAAGAGCTTTGTGTATCTTTCCCTTTGAGAAAATTTTAATGAGCATGTGTAAAGCAGATTAAGAATGGAGCTTTACTCTTTGCTTTGAAAGTCACTGGCTTTGGCTGTGCAAGTCAAATGTCTGGGGGGCAGGATAAACCTCAGTAGTTAGCAGTTTAATGGGAGCTGAAACAACTTGTTGCCAGTGCGTTAAACTAGCAAATAAAAATCCTTGCTGCTGTACAACCACAGCTTTTTTATGTTTATTTTGAGGGAAAGCATAGATCTAGTCAACTTCCTTGTAACAGTTCACCGTGAATTAGTATAGCAATTGACTGAGCTTTCTAATTTTGAACACAAGGTGAGTATGCTTTTCTGCCCGAATACCGCTCTGTCAGTCTGATTTTTTACACAATTTTCCGTATGGTTTTCTAACAACCAGCTTAGACATCAGGAAACCATGAGGTGGCCTAACTCTCTGCCAAGGACTTTGAGTTTACAGAGCACCATATTTAATCCCTTTCCATAACTAGCTTGATAAGTTTAACCCTCTCCTGAGCATACAGATATTCTCAGTCACTCAAGTGGTTTTTTTTATTAAAGATCCAGAAAGATTACATATTCTTTTAGCTATGCACACTCTAAAATGTATTATACACTGTACTTGCTCTGGAAAAAGGCTTATTTATCCAGACTGTACATGAAACCTGTACTCAGTCAGACCCAAAGGCCCAGATACCCGAGTAGCTGTCTTTCATAGTGGCCAAAAGAAGACACCCAGCTAGAGTAGAAGACTATAGCAAATATATACTGACTCATTCCCCACACAGGCTCCCAGCCTTTAACAGTTTGGAGTTCAGAAACTCATTGAACCAGAGGGAATGAGTTGTATTATACACAAGTAAAGACAGATCTTTACTGAAAAGAAATACTGGTAAAGAATAGCCATAGCACATGTTTAAGTTTGGGAATTTTGTATCTGTAGGTTAAGAAAAATACAGGTAGATGTGTTTCCTCCCTTTAAAGAATTAGTCATTGGACTCATCCACCAGACTGAATATTCTCTGATGCCTGGATTTTCACAGTTTTGAAAATACTTGGGCAGCAAACTTCAAAATTGCAATCCTGAAAATCTTTGCTTTGCTGGCAAGTTCTACAGGCACTTAATTGCCATTGGCACTTCAGGTTATTATCATCTGAAAGTTCAGCTGTTTCGGTCTGCAGAAAATAATTCAGAATTCCTCGAGCCAGAAACAGAGAGCATGCTGATCAGCAGCAACCCTCTTGGTACTTTTCTGTTCTGTGTTTGGACACTCCATGCTGCTTGCATACAGGAGAATTTATTAGACCTATATGGAAGAGGAGAGAGATCACACAAGACAAGGCATAAGTCTCAAGCATAGTACAGAATTTCCCTGAATATCGACAGGCCTGGATTCCCATTCTAGCTTGAAGAGCCTTCCACGTATCTTCCATAAAACTATCCCTGGAGCAAAAAATGGGATTCATAATTCCCTCTTGGCAATTGAGCAATACAACTGCAAACCTGGGGAACTGTTCTCCTGCTCTCTGTGGTCCAGGCAATGCTTTCTGTGCACATGAGTGTTTTGCAATAGTAAGAATATAGAGAGTTTGTACTGCGGAAGACCTTCTGGCCCTCATCAGAATTATGGGATCTGCATTCTCTGAGAAAGGTGCCTGATTTTGTCCCTTTGTCTTGTGTCCCTGGCAAGCAAAAGAGGGGTGCAGTGATGCATTTATTAGACTCAATTATGTATTGCACAGAATCTATACATATCTGATTGCATCTATCCAATAACTTGGATTATTAATTAATAAGTGAAACTGGACCTCAGAAATTCAGTTTCCTGTGTGATCACAGGTTTGCTCTATGATCTTGGACAAGCCCAGACTAGTCTGACTTTTCAAGGGCATGTATTCAAGCATATTCAGCATGCAGATAATACATTAGTCTCTGATTATCCTCACATTTCAGCAAGTTGAGTGGAAACCAGTAGAAGAGTGGCATCTAATCCATGCAAAGACATTGCAGAGACTTTTAGAACATTACTGTGGATTTTATCTGCATTTTAGGATCCTAAACATCTTTAAAAATTTATGTGGTTAAAAAGACACTATGACGACAATTCTGCACTGATTATACATGGAGACAAGTCTAGAAGCCCTTTGGTAGCTCTCCTGATGTTTTGCTTTCATAATGATTGAATGAGGCACCAGTTGTAGACTGGCTGAATGCATTTCAGCTATCCATCTGTACAGGATGGCAACTACCACCTAACTACCCAGGTAAAGACAGAGACATTAAAGTTTGAGATGCATAGATAGTGGAAAAACTGCATACCACAAGAGCAGGGAAAGCCAGAAGGTGGGAGTCAGCCAGCGAGGTGTACCTGTGTATCTTGCAGATCTCACTCTTGGATTTGGAGCAGAATTACTGACAATGTGACAAGGAAATTCCTCATAAAAAGGACGCTAAGACAACCTCCAAAACTGCAAAAGTTAGGTCTTGCTCACGTGGAGACTCGGCAGGAAGTTAAGGCAACTTGTCTAGAGGTTTGGGCTCATCACATATGCATTCATCTCCTATGTTCAGCAGAGAAGTGAGCTTATCATCAAGCAGTTTAATATTCCTCTGCTGATTCCATTAATAGCAATAATTCATTGCCAAAGGAGAATTAAACCAAGTGATCTACTGCTATTTCACACTAGAAAATGAGCCTACATTTGGATTTTAAAGTTCTTTGAAGTGTGAGTGCTTGGATCACACTACTGGCTGATTTGTCTCCCTGTGTAAAGAAGTGTTTGCAAATATTTCCTCTTTTCCAAAGAGTAATTACATCTGAAAGGACCAAAAGTTCCTGGGTTTTTAGCACAGTCTGAAGGTTTCTTGCTTTAAGCTCTGTACTAGAAATTATTGTAGCCCTCAGTTTTACTCTCCATTTTCATTTGCTTTTGTCAGACAGCTCATTTAAGAAGTTATTTTCTGGTACACAAACTTCAAAATGAAATTGTTTCAATTTGTGTGATGATAGAATAATTGGTTTATGTTCTTTTTTAGAACATTGCATCAATCAATTAGAAATAATCCATGAATGTAAACAAGATTTGCAATTTTAGTCTTGGAACATCAATGGGATTAAAACCTTTATTTATTTTGTGTAATTTATTAATGGATTCCCTCGATATTAATTTGCTTTTTCATTTATCAATTCTAGTGATATTTGGAATTTATCTAATGAAAAATAATAAAAGGTTAAAAAATAATTAGAAATTACTCAAGACATCATTTTCCTGTGTTTTGTTGCTCATATTCATAAGGAATGAAAGAAAAATTCCATCTTCCAAGGTGTTTTTACTAATTTCATTATATGAAAACACTTGAAGAAAATTGTATGAAATTTTCATATCTCTGCTGATAAAGAATAGACCAAATCCCTCAACACTGTGCACTCATCTAACTGTTTGTCATGTGCAATAAATTAATACCATGTGCTTGTAATGAAGGGGGGAAAATAAGATGTATGAGTATTGTGCTGATTATGGCTATATTATTTTTTGTTTGAGCCGAACAGATTTAAACTGAGATAGTTTGCAAATATCTTTTCATTTATGCTAAATGTTAACGTGTTTGCCTCTCCTTTGTTTTCAGCAAGAACACCAGGACATCAGATACACTTAATAAGCAGCAGCAAACACTGAGGATGCACATAGACATTCCCAGAGCACAGCTTCTGATTGAGGAGAGGGACACAATGGAGACTATTGGTAAAACTCTTGTTGGACTTGTTTTAACTGGTTAATGTAATGGGCACTTCAGGTGTATTTCCTTCATCCCATACCTTTCCCCCTCACTGCACACATCAAGAAAAAAGAGTTACAAAGTAATTCACCACATTTGAAAATTGAATTGATTTTTTTTACCTCCCTTTTGAATAATTTTCCACTTTCAATAATATCAGTACAATATTTAAAATAATGCAGGACTTCAGGAAAATTAAGCTGGTGGAAAGAGCTGCTGGAAGAAAATGTAAATGAAGACTGGAAGTTTTCCGATTTTCATTTTGATTTCTATTTTGGCTTTAACTAGACAGTTGGATCATTGACATTACTTATAAGGAAAATGAAATTTTGAAACTACTACATCAGTATTTAAAGATTTGCAACAGCCAACTTCTAAAACCTATACGTTGCATATTGCATCCACCTGTTCATATCAAATGATATTTCAACATTTTGATCAGTTTTCAGCTTTTGTGTATCTATGCAGAATTTAAATCTGAACTCTTTCACACAAACAGAAAACAAGATTTCTCATGTGGTTGGCACATAGCTGAAGTGTCATGAAAAACAGAATTGTTTAGTGTTGGGTTATTTTCCAAATAATTTAAACACAAGAGGTCTGAAATCTCAACAGAATAAAAATGCAACCTGATTTCCTGACTGTATGGGTACACACCATGGCAAAACCCTCCAGAATGACTGATCTTGTTAGACTTCTAACTTTCTTGGATCAAAATCTGTGTAGAAGAAAACTGTGATGGCTGAGAATGTAACAGCATCCCAGGGACGACGTGGCCAGAGAAGAAGACAGGCATCTCCGGTCCATGTCCAGCACTTGGGAGGGACGAGCTACTTTAGCCCCATACCCTTTCACACTTGCTGTCAGTCTGGAATGGTGGGGTGGCCTCAGAGGACATTTCACAGTTTGCACTGCAGATTTGAAAACAAGACCTACACTTCATCTGAAATACAGACTTGTTAAAATCCTGATTTGGGCTTCCCCAAGTTTGCCTCTCTGATGCAGTCTTTTATGGCAACCTTCATCCTAAACACCATTTTTACTTTTGAGTTACAGTTGTTGAGCAATAGGGGATTACAGTGGAAATACCATTAGTGCCTTAACCACAGCAATGCGATCAGTGCCTTTGTAATAACCATCTCTCCACATAGCAGTCAGAATAAGAAGGCACTTTGGCAGTCTTTGACATAGTTTACTGCCAAGAGGCTTTATTTCCAACTTGAATAAGAGCTCATCTTTTGCCAGAGACAGAGTAATTTGATTTCATAACGCACATTCTATTTATGGCCTTCTCTGGGTAAAAAAAATGCTAGTTATGTTATTGTGTAGAACTGTTCACCTTAATGGTGTCTTGTCAAGTTAGGAAAAAAAAAAAAAAAAAAACAGGAATGCTTAGACAAAGTGGATCAACCTCTGCTGACTAGTAAATGGACATAAACCCCACTGCTGCCAGTCCCCTTAGAAAAGGAATACAAAGCTATGTAGAACATCATAGCAGGAACTTCTTGTGACTTTTATTACTGTTATGAATGGACAAAAAGATTGTAAAGAATGCAAAAGAAAATCTAATAGCATGCAGATAATTGTTCTGCAAGCACAGAGTCAGTGGAAGATTTATCACTGTTAAGCCTTCCATGATTGAGTAGACCAGATTCCTCTTTGGAGAAAAGAGCTACAGTACAGAGATCACAACTAAAAAAAAAAAAAAAAAAAATATGTAAGTGCTGTGTAGCACTGGCTTTCTGCAGGGATCAAGGCCTGTGTGGCAATTTGGTGAATATATCCTACTCCATAGGGAAGCAATAGGCAGCAGAACCTTATAGAAGTAAAGGTCAGTGCTCACCTTTTTCTTCCAGTCCTTCCCAAAGTTAGGCTTCACCTTGCACCTTTCTTTGCAGCTGCAGGAAAGCCCATTGTCAGCTAGACTGACAATGTAGAGAGAAATTTACACATCTCTCACAAAGCTCCCCAAGTTTCTGTTTCAAGCCTACAGGAGTGAGGCTCATTGCAGAGAGAGCTGGTAGGACTTAGCCCTTAGTTTCCAGAACAGCAAAACACTGGACTTAAGGATGCCTACCTGGCCTGCAAGTATATTTCCATTGTCTTCACTACAGTACTCAAGCGCTTAAAAATAAGCAGCTCCTTAAGAACAGTCTTGGGTCATGGCCATCCCTTCTGCAATATTATGTCTCTGGAGAAAAAGCTGACTGGTAGAGGGTTAGCTTGCGACATTACCTAACAATCCTTTTGGGAAGACATGGGTGATTTCACTGAGGACATTAGTAATTATGTTAATAAAAATGAATAAATTGAATATGTTGAAAAGCTCAGCTGAGCTCTGAAAATGAAGAGGAAAAGGGCAGAGTTCAACAGATGGGAAACAAGAAATTACGGCAAAAAATAATTATTCACAATTTAGCTTTTTGGAAAGATGCTTAATAGTCTGTTTCAGTTGCACATCTCTAAGGTGAAATCACAAAGACAGACATGAAAATTACACTTATTCTTTAGTCTTCTATGAACTTTGAGTTTAAACCCAGAGGCTCCCAAGCTGTGGTACACACTTCAAAGCCATCTTCAGTCCTGCAGAGAGAAGAGAGCTGCCACTGTCAGTCGTGGCGCCCAGCTGACAATAAGGCTGGGGATTTGCTGTAAAGCTCTTATGAAGGTAAACCCAAAATTTGTTACTCAGTATCTTATGTGTTTTTTGCTTACAGATGACAGATCAACAGTTCTGCTCACTGATGCTGACTTTGGAGAGACATCTAAGCAGAAGTCACTGACTGTCACCCACACAGTACATTACCAGTCCGTGTCACAAGCTACAGGACCACTGGTGGATGTTTCTGATGCCCGGCCAGGCACAAGTAAGCATACAAGAGAATATGTTATCTGGAGAGGAGAAAGCTATAAGAAAATTAATGCTGTGTTCCTGCATTTGTATTCTCATGGGGTTTTTTCTTCAGTCTGAAAGTTGAGAGAACTCTATTTAGGTCAGCAGAGAACATTTCTTATACAATTGCATTTAGTGATTCAATATGCTAAAAAATGCATATGCATCTGAAATGTAGGTGTAATTTGAAATAATTCACACCTGGCTTTCATTAAACCAAATTCATGCTAGATTTTAATTTCTAGAATTTATTGAGTAAATTACCTTAATGGCTTTTAGTGTCTAATATATATTTTTTTCAGTGATCAATCTTTATTGTATTTCAAAATAGGTCTTCCCTCCTTACCTCTTCATGAAGCAAGAAATAAATTTCTCATTATTGCTTTTCTGAAAAAGATTGTATTTCCAGTTTTAGTTATTATGGTAAATTACATTTCCCAGATATATTCATGTTGGGTTATTCTTATAGTGATTAAATAATAAATTAATATACTGCTGCAATCCATTCTTAATTTCTCTCGTGAATGTGTTCCATATCTATGTAAAAGAAAATCACTAGATCAAAGGAATACTCATGAGTTAAGGAATATTACTGAAGTATAGTGCACAAGCAGTGTGCAATTTCTAAAATCTCTTGCATTATTTCTATCCCCTGACCATTTCAGAATTTGTTTACTGGGTGAGTTCAGTGAATATAAATATTGAAAGCCTATCTGTGCATCATCACTGAAAAATCTTTGTTTCATCTTCATTTCCACCCCAGATTTTATAAATGATAGCTGTTCTAGTACTGACTCTGCTGCTTTTCTATCTCTGACAGTTTTAAGCTAAAGCTAGTTATTTCTGGAGGACTAAATTGGCACCATCATCTGGATTTTCTTTTTCCTCTATGGAGAGTCATGGCATTTGAATGAGAAGAGTCAAGTCAAGATATGACATTTGTTTTCTTTCTGGTACCACTCTTTTCTCTCTCCTTTAGTTCATGTATATGCTGGCTAACCTGCTCACTAAGAGCAAAAAAAAATCATATCATTTTTTTCACACTAGCAGATCAAGATCATCTGAGTAAACCGTGGACTCTCCATTTCTTTCCAACCCTGCTTTTTCTAATAAGGAGAGAAGCACTAGCCCAAAATTGCCTGTCTATACCACACCACAGTATTTTATAGCACCAGTATCTTCCGTTCCTAATCCCTTTTTTGTGTGTCGTTATGTGCTTCAGTCCACTGAAGTCGGGGAGAGACTTCCCTCAGATTACACTGGGGTTTAACTCATGTGTGGGAGTATGATCTGTGTCCAGCCCAGCTTTGGAAATAGAAATCCACCATCACTTCTATTATGCACTAAAGATCTGATTGCAGCAGGGCGCAGGGTTAGGTCAAAGACTTACAAGTTGTGTTCTCTGTATTTAAGACACTAATAGAACTTGCACAGAGGCTGGGCTATGAGACTTTGACTTGACCCAAGCTTTCTCTGTGAAGAGGGGTGCAGTGCCCGTCTGGGTGGCTCAGAGATTATGGATCCTCCTGTCTGAGCACACTCACACTCAGTGATTGACAAATATTCCCTTACAGACCTTTCTAAGTTCTTCCCTAGTTCTTTTGTATTTATTTATAAAAGAGGTATGCTTCGTGAACCTTTGCCTTGCTCACTTCAGCTCTCTACAGTTATGTTTCAGCGTAGGGCAGCAGAGACGGCTTAACAGCCAGGGCACCAGATGTGTGCTGTTTTCCATCACACAGGCAGCTCTGGAGCTTGATGCATCTGTGCTACAGAATTCCTTATGCAGGCACAGCACAGCTGGTGCAGTGCTACTGCTCAGCACATGCTCAGCAGGACGAGCACTGACCTCCTGCGTGCTGGCAGTGGGCTCTCCCACCTCCTTCAAGTTGCTAATTAAAGTCTTCTGAGTCACAGAATCACAGAACAGTTGATGTTGGAAGGGTCCTCTGGGCACTGGCTAGTCCAACCCTCTGCTTAAAACAAGGTCAGCTAGAGCCAGTTGCCCAGGGACATACCCAGATGACTTGTGAATATCTCCAAAGATGGAGACTCCATCATCTCTCTGGGCAACCTGTGCCAGTGTTCAGCCACCCTCACAGTAAAATGTTTTGTGATGTTCAGAGGGAAGCTCCAGTGTTTCACCTTGTGGCCATTGCCTCTGGTCCTGCCACTGGGCACCACTGAAAAGAGCCTGGCTCTGTTCTCTTTGCACCTTCCCTTCAAGTATTTATATACATTGATGAGATCCTCCTGATCCTTCTCTTCTCCAGACCAAGCAGCCCAGCACAGTGACAAGAGTTTCTCCACCAGCACTCTCCTCACCTTCAAGTCTTCCCTTGAAGCAGACATGAGGCTCACTTCTGGCTACATGACAGCCAACTTTCCGCAGCTGGTACAAGCGGTGGTTTATACTGACAGGCTGGTCACATCATTCCAAGCGTGTTTTTGGAGGTTATCCATGTAAGGCAGCTATGTGTTGCACCACCAGGGGGATCAGTTATCAATGGCACTGGATTCATATTTTTCCACTGCTGTAGAGGGAAGATGTGAAACAGGAGAAGGATCAGAGCATAGCTGGCGTTTGTAAATAAGTACCTTATTTCTTTGAAGGAGCAGAATACAAATTCGTACTGGGAATGCTTAGGTAGAAACAATGCTCAGAGTCATCTGAGTATTGTTTTTTTCTTTAAATTGCTTCTGTTAAAGTCTCTTACCTCAAAGACTGACACTTTCACCATTTGGATGTCAAAGAACATTTCAATAGATCTGAATTTTTAATTTCTAATATCCTTTCTCTCTATTGTTAGTAATACCCTTTCAGAAGCTTCAAAGAGAAATCCTTCAGTGCTGATTTTGTCACTTTCTGTTTGCCACATAATGATTTTTCTACTCCACGTGCTTTGTTAGGGAGTTCAAGCCTTGCTTTTACAGAAGAACTGTTTATTAACAAAAGTAAGGAGGTCAATTGTGGCAGATAGTTTGCTTTTACTCCCTTGGTCACCATATTATCTCTAGGATAATAAAATCTAAAACACCCTGACCTTAAACAAGTAGCAGATTATTTTTAAAGTTTAAGAAATTGTATTTATTTACTAATCTTTTTAAAACAGTTAAATCATTTGTAGCAAAACTCTGATGACACCATTACAGGTTATGTTTTATGTCTTGGCTACTTGTTAAAAAAAAAAAAAAAAAAAAACAACAAACAACAGGGAATCTGCAGTTAGTTAATATTGTAATATAGTAAAATTATTAGTAAAATATCCAGAATAGGAAATTATATCACCACATTCCTGACCACATGTATTTACAAACTGAGAGCAGGTACCTGGTGTAGGGTGTTTTTGAAGACATATCTATGGTGGTAATTTACGTTAGACTTTGCTTGAGGCTTGTGAAATCCCTGACCAGATGTACTTGCCTTGTGCTCTTTCACATCTCAAAGTGGTTTTGGTACAGGTATAGTAAAGGGATAATTAATGTGTCAATGGGAGACTGGTGGGGCTCTCAGCTCTTCAGCTGCACCCTTTTTAAAATGTATTGTTTAATTAGAAAGAGGGTATTTCAAAAAAGCATTAGGAGTTTGTTAACGAACAGTAATTTCACTGTTCATTTTTTTTCATCACAAAGAAAGTTTTGTGAGGTTTTTTTTTATCCAACATTATTTCACTGGCCTTCCCCTTCTGAAAGGGCTTGTTTCCTTACCAGTTCAAGAGCCAAGTGGCAAAGATCCTCTCTGTTATTCATCACAGATCCTACCACAAGGAGGAGTGCCAAAACCGGACCCGCAGCTCGCAACCGCTATGCTAGTCAGTGGACTCTCAACAGACCTCACCCTACCATATCAGCTCATACCCTCACCACAGACTGGAGGCTGCCCACCCCCAGGCCAGCAGGATCAGTGGACAAGGAAAGCGACAGCTACAGCGTCAGCCCCTCACAAGACACAGGTATGGGGCTCTCTGCAGGGCTGTGCTGTGAAAATGGGACAGCAGTAGCTGCAGTAACCTTCTTGGTCCTTGATGTACTTCATCTGGTGCTTAGGTGTCATTATTTTTGCTTTGCTAAGGTGTTTTTCTGTAGGCTATTTATAAGGGGTACCACAAATATATATAGTGCTAATTATAACAAATATTGTGCCCATAGTTTCTGATGCAACACATGTATACTGGAGTCCTTTGAAAGACATGGTATTAATTTTTCCTGTACCTGAAGTGCTCTACTTCCTGTATCTGAAGGAAAAAGTAGGAGAATTTTTTGCATGAAAGGGCATTAACCAGGAAGGGGCAGTATTAGCCACCAAGAGTATACCTGAGTCATAGCTGGAATGGTTTTAAGGTTTAAGCTATATTGAGGTTAGTATTTTCCTTTTCCCATTCATGTAATATGTTCATAGGGTTTATTCTAAGCTGTCCTGGTTTCAGCTGGGACAGAGTTTACTTTCTTCATAGCAGCTAGTAAAAACCTGTGTTTTGGATTTGTGCTGAGAAGAAGGCTGGTAACATGCTGACGTTTATAGTTGCTGCCAGGACAGTCAAGGACTTTTCAGTTTTTCTGCTGTTCCAGTGTCTGCAGGTGCAGGAGAAGCTGGGAGGGACCACAGTCCCAATTAGCGCTTTCAGATTTGGCCTTAGGTTTAGGATTGAGACCCAAATCGGCCAGTGGTGTATTCCATATCATGTACATCATGCCCAGTATACAGGTAAGGATCTGCCTGGAAGTTCTCACTCTCTGGGGTCATTTCCGCCTCTCTCAGGGTCATTTTGCTCTCCTGGTCAGCTCTTGGTCTCTCAGACTCTTGGTCTCCTATCTCTTTTCCAGCATTATGGTTTTGGGACTTTATCTGCTCTGGGATCATTAGCTGGGAATAGCCTGAGCCTTGTTCATCAGGTGGTGAGCAGTTGCACTGTGTATCACTCATTTGTGTTTGTATATTTGTATATATTACCATTATTATAATTATTTTCAATGTTGTTGTAGTTTAGCTATTAAATTGTTCTTATCTCAACCAGTGAGTCTCTTTTCCCTTTACCCCTTTACTTGTTTCCCCCATCCCCAGGAAGGGGGTGAGAGAGCAGCTGTGTGGAATTTGTTTGCTACTGTCTTTGTTCAAAACCACAACATAAGCAGAAAAAATGAGAGGGGAAAATCTGGAATTAAAGTCCAAATCAAAATCCATACATATCACTGAATAATGCAGAAGCTAGCTCTGATTTTCCTGAGAAACAGCATAGGTTTTATTCCTCTAGATGATAAGTGGAGAGACACTGAATATTCTGTCTACAGTCTTCATCTCTTGTTGATGTCTTCACATAATAAATGCAATTATAACTGAAAAAAAAGCTTTCTCCTCTGCCCTCCACTGAATAAGTGACAAGGCAAATTAATTAGTAAATTATTAAGCAGAATACCAATCACAAAGCAAATCTAATAAAAGTTAAATACGAAGAAAGGTAAAATACTGTTCAAAGGTATGCCTGATGGAAGTGAATCCAGGCTTACTCTGGCCTTCTCAAAAGGAATTGCCTGCCTTCTATCATGATTTTAGGGGAAAAGTGTTTGTCACGTGAAAACACTATGTGTTAGAGCTACAAAGGAGTATGAGTGACTGGCCTTTCACCATGAAAACCAGTATGTCTGGTTTTATTCTCTATATAAGAACAAGCATCTGACTTCCATTATATCAAATAATTTGTAGGTTGGAGTTCTCATCTTTTCACGATTCATTCTGTTAAACTTTCAGACCTCTGTGTTGTCTCCGTAGGGTAACAGCATTCAATAGATACCTCTAGCCAGACAACAAACTTCATCCTGATTTCTTCACGTAGAATTATGCTAAGACTTTAACAAGTAACTCTAATAGCTATTCAGAGACAGATATAAATAGCAAATGTTATCTTAGAAAGCCTTTTTGGAGACATTCCAGATTTCAGGTGCTCTTGCATGTATTGTAACACTTTGTTACTGTCGTGGTTTAAACCCAGGCAGCTGCCAAAAAACACCCTGCAGGCACTCACTCACCCTCTCTGCCTGGTTGGACAGGGAGAGAATTGGAGGAGTAAAGGTAAGGAGACTTGTGGGTTGAGATAAGAAAAATTTAATAATCGAAACAAAATTAAAAGTTATAATTATAATAATAACAATAAATGAATATACAAAGAAGTGATATATGGTACAACTGCTCACCACCTGCTGGTCAAGGTCCCGCCCATTCCTGGCTATTGATTTTGGAGCAGAGACAGTCCCAAAACTGCAATCCCAGAAGAGAGAGAAAGCCAGCCTCCCGGTTGCCTTTTATCTATATACTGAGTATGACATTGGATGATATGGAATATCTCATTGGCCACTGGATTTGTCGCTTTGGCTATGTTCCCTCTCAGCTTTTTGTGCACTGGCACACTAGCATAACTTGGGAAGCTGGAAGCGTCTTTTGCTTAATATAAGCATTTCTTGGCAACAACTAAAACATCAGTGTGTTATCAACATTATTCTCAGCACAGATCCAAAACATAACCTCATACTAGCTACTATGAAGAAAATTAACTGTATCCCAACCAAAACCAGCACAGTCACCCAATGATATTTTCCAATGCATGGGGCAAAGGGCAGAGAATTAAATTTGCTGTGTATTTTAATAGATAAACTACATGAATTTTTGTAACCAGACTTCATAACCTGTGTTTTAACATGGCTACTTTCCTACTCTGTGTCTACCCTTGAACACACAGTGATTTATGTAAGGGATAGCAAGCTTTAGATCATGCTCAGGAAAGGGTTCTTTTTGTGCCAAAATGTATCTCTATTATGCCACTTGGTTTCTGGGAAAAGAATAGTCAGTTTAATCTAAGTACTTCAGAAGTTTAAAATTTCCAAATAAATGTTATAATAGATGTAGCCAAACTACATGCTCCAGAATCAATGGAACTAATGTACACATTTGATCACTTTTCCAATATGGAGTTCAGATTTCTCAGTCTAGTTGATGCAGTTGATATTTGGCAGAATTTAGCACTTCCTATCAAAACAATTCCAGATTACAAAGCAGTAGCTTTTAAACTTAGGAGAAATGTATTGCAGCAGTTCATAGCAGTGACTAAGTTCAAATGTTCCAACTAGAGGCCATTAGACATTTTGTGATTAATATAGGTGTCATGAAGTTCACCCTGGGCTTGGATGAACTCTCATAAAATCTAAAGTAGGTGTTCAAGCAGACTCTTCCTGGAATAGTCTCCCTAGGGCATGGTATATATATTTACAGACACTGCTCTGTGGCACGGGGCACCTGAAGCCTTCCAGGAGTTTCCAGTTGATCAGAATTATGTTTTCTCTGGGGTGGAGGGGTGGGTGGGGGAAAGCCTTGTTTAAGTTCTGGCCAGCTCAAAATCTTAAGCAAGTTACAGCCTATCGTAGAAGTACTTGTCATTTTAAACAATGTATGGTCCTATTTACAGGTGGCAGGAGTGTTGTTCTTTGTGCACAATGAAAATGGATGCAAGGATCCTAGCACACAATAAAAAAGATGAAGATTTGCAATAACAACACAGTTGCCTCTGGCTGTTGTAGGAGTCACATTTTCATGAATCAGCTATTGCATTGTGCATGTTTATTGAACATCACCTACAATGTCTGAAATTGTACAGATCTTGTGATAAAACATGGCTTCTGCCTGTGGACCTTTTAACTCTGTTCCTCCAGCCACTGAAGCTGAAGTGTGATGGGTGCAACAGACCACTCATTTGTCCCCACAGAAATGAGCACTACATTTCCAGAATGCTTTTTTTTAATGTATCAGTAGACATTTACACCTTCAATAATAGTGTTTGTTTAAGAAATATTGATATTCTCAGAAATTCATCAGCAGAAAAGAACAGCTTCTAGGTCATAATAGCCTGTGTGTCAAATATGAAGCCCCCATTAGCTTCAGCAGCTAATGAAAAAAGCACCTGAATGACTTCAGGCTGGTAGCTACCAAACAATATTTTCTTAAGACCTTTGTTCTGTGTGAAATGAGTTAGTGTTTTATCTGGTGTCTGGGACAGTCAGAGACAATGCAACGTCTGAGAGACACGGCCTTTCTATTTGGTCTTTGTCCTCAGGGCTTTCTCAAAAAAAAAAAAAAAAAAAAAAGATACAAGATTGAAACAGGTACAGAAAGATTATCCTTTCTCACCTAGACACCAACTCACAGAAAGATTTCTGAGATGCATTAAAAAGATGATATAAAGGAGCTGTTCCTCATTTTTTGAAATCTGTTTTGTGAGTTTCTCACATTTTTAGGCACTTAACTTTTAGATAAATGATTTTTTGTAAAAAAAAAAAAAAAAAAAAAGTAACCTTTTTCATGTGTCAAAGGTTATTTCTACTAAACCACAAATGTAATGCTAAGCCACATAGTGTTGCTAGCTGAATAAGAGTTCACTTTAGATTACCTGTAATAACCAAGTAACTGACTAAACTAAAAATTATGCAGACATGGTGAAGCAGACTCATTTAAATCACCTTGATAATTTCAAGGGCTCCGCATTTTATTAAGGAATACTATCATGTTCATAGCTTTTATTCCAAAAAAGGGTTGCACAGATGTTTTCTTTCTCCAATTACTTATATTTCTGATGTTCAGATCGAGCAAGAAGCAGCATGGTGTCCACAGAAAGTGCCTCCTCAACATACGAAGAGCTAGCAAGAGCATATGAGCACGCAAAAATGGAAGAGCAGCTGAGACATGCCAAGTTCACCATTACAGAATGCTTCATATCAGACACATCGTCGGAGCAGCTCACGGCAGGGACTAATGACTACACAGACAGTCTGACCTCAAGCACGCCGTCAGAGTCGGGGATTTGCAGGTTTACCGCATCCCCACCCAAACCTCAGGATGGAGGGCGAGTGATGAACATGGCAGTTCCAAAGGCACACCGGCCAGGTGAGACATTAGAGGTAACATTTTGGTCCTTGGGGTGAGCATTTCACCACATGCCTAGGCTGGTTAACAGGAGAGGGTATATCACAAGGAAGAAAGAAAGTGCACAATATATCCTATTACTAGTAACAAAGATCATTGCTTTTTGTCCCAGATAATATAACATTTGAGTATATTCTCCCTTATACAGAAAAATGATGAACATGGAAATTTAGGAATAGAAAGGAAGTGTCCTCTACCACTGCAGCTGTCAGGCAATAGACTCTTCTGGGATAAATAAGACCATATGGGGGTATATATGCCCATCTCCAACTCAAACCACCCACTGATAAAACATGTCTTACAGCAATACTTTGTGCTTGAGAGCAAAGGTTTCGTATCAGAACAATTCATAAAGACAGATTGTAGAAGATGTACTATCCCTTCTGCCTTGTACCTTGTCAAAGATATAATAACTTTTTGGTGCTGTTCTTATACAGAGTTGTTATACTCTCTTTGACACCTCCTAATATCAAACTAGAATTAGCTAAAGGAGGAAGAAAATGAAGACAGTGCAATAGCTCAAGGGATATGGAGCCTTGTAACTTCAGTCAAATTTAAACCCACTCCAACTTCTTACTGATTGAAGATGCCCAAGGGACATCCACCTATTGGGCTCAGTCAAATTTCCTTCTCACAAAGAATATTGTTTCTAGTGATACCCTAGTGCGCAATAGCACAGGTAGGTTATTTGTGATACTCTGAGATCAAACGTTATAACATCTTCTCAGAAGATTTGTCACTTTGTTACATGATATGACATCATGGAGGAGTATTAAAATGGGAAAAAGGCATAATTATATTTGTGTGATTTCTGAAAACATCATTTATTTATTTATTTTGTTTTGTTTTCTTTTATTTTATTTTGCTTATTTTATTTTTTTTATTTTACTTTATTTTTATTTTTATTTAGCATATGCGCTTACCAGTGTAGCTGGGCCTATGTATATACACAGAAAGTAATCAATAGCACTCATATATGTAAAAAAGAGTAATGAATAAACTATGGTCTTTTGCTTAATATGCACCATAAATGGAGAAGCAGTTGTGAGGACAGAGGAATGGAAGACAGTGGTATCAGGGAAGTTGTTCAAAAGCAGGACCTGACACTGTAAAGAAAGCATAAAGGATTTTAGCAGAGAAAGCTAAAAGAAGAACATGGGAAGAAAAAGACCAAGCAGAAGGCAGAAAGTTATAACAAACAAGGCAGGAAATTAGTGTGTAATACAGATAGACAAGAGGGAAAATAAGTAGGAAATAAAATAGTGAGAGAAATGACTGATTTCTGTGTAGTCACTGAGTTGCACTATAAACCCAGCCGCTGTAGAAATAAAGATAGAAAGTATTTTAATTTCTAAATCAAGAAAAGTAAGATAAATATTTGTCCTTAGTCTGCTAAAGGGAATCATCTGCATTCACAGCTAAGTCAAAATTCCAGCCCTCTCCTTCCAGTCAGTCAACAAACATTTTTTATCATTTCTTTAACAAATAGCTTAATATTTTCCTTTCATGTTCCAAATACATTATTTATGCATATTCAGTATTTGGAAATATTCTAATATATTCCATACAAAGATGATTTTCTTGAGGGCATATAGCACCAAAATTTGGTCCCTGAGCTTGAGTTAAAAGCTTCCGGGGTTGGAACATCATCAGAGCCCCTCTAGTGAATTACAAACTTGCAGTCATCTTTAGCTCTGTTAGTTTAAATGCCTTGAGTTTTTACCTGCTTTTCTTGGTTAGCTTTAGCTTTCCTTTGCAGTAAGGAAATGAAATATATTTTGAAATTAATAATTAGCTTCAATACCTTGAAAAAAAAAGAGTGTTCCAGTGGAGCAATTTGAATGTTGGCCCATAAATATGGAATGATATGTTATTAAAGGTTACTTTATGAAGAGTTTTAAACAAAACATAAGGGTAGAAAGAATTTTCTGTAGTAGCAGACAGACCAATATTTGTAGTGTTCGAATCAGCGAGGAACGGCTTACTGTGCATCTTTCTTCTTTCACCCACCAATTCAGAAATTCTATGGAAGTAATTAATAATTCAAATACAATTAACCAAAGTAATTCTATATTTGGGATCATGGAGAAGGAATCAAAAAGTTAACATGTTTAGATTAAGTAGATAAGAACATCTGAGATGAAGCACTGACTGTGCTTTTTAGCACCACTTTATTCTTCCTTGAAGTCAGTCTTTTTTTTTCAAGATAACTTTTACCTGTTTTGATGGTGCTTTGCTTTTCTTCTTCTTCAGCTCAAGTAACCTGTTCTTCCTTCTCCATAATTTCTGATCTCACTTTTCAGACTGCCTGTAGTGCTACCAATTGAAACTTTTATGGTTTAGGAGTCTACTTGGTTTTCAAAATAGTCCCCAACAGTTTTAAGACAGTCTCAGAAAGACCCTAGCAAAAAATTATTTTGATAAATGGGACATTTTGAAACTAATCTACACAATGGCAAGGCTGCAACTTTGCTCAAGAAAGGTAACGATGGAGTTTACTGGTGCAGAATTTGCCAGCCATAACTGAGCTATTACAGAGTCTATTTCTTAGCTTGTTTCTGCTGTAAGGGTTTGATATGAGCAGGAAAATGTTAGACCACCTGAGGCTTGGCTTTAGAAGACGTTGTGAGTTTCTGAGGGCATCGCAACTCATGTCACTGATTGTTACCTTGTTTTTCCTGAGCATCTCATAGGATTCTCTTGTACCTGTATAGTCAAACCTGCACTGTTTTATGCAAGATGCAGCATTTGAGACCTCAGGTTGCTCCAAACTGAGATAGTTAATGATTAGGAGTAGGGAACCTGAATGTTTTTTCATTGGAGGAGGAAAAGGGGTGATCAAGATTCAATGACTTGTATTCTGGGGGCTGATATCAACCTGCTGTGACTTTCCCAACATCTATACCATTTTCATTCAGACATTGAATCAAAACATTTGATCACTCCATCAGCTTGAATTATATTTGGGTGGCTCATCAGATGTCTATGCAAGCTTAGTAATTGAACATTTCTAGCACTATAACTATGAATTAGGACTGTCTTTTCAGAACTTCTACACATTATGTACAACTCTAACCCTGTAATTAGTAATGCGTAATAGTTGATTGCCTCATATTCTAGTCCACTGTAAGTCTTCTAATAGACCTTTTCCCTTCCAGTCAGCTGGTGCTGCAGATATTACTCTCAAGTCAGCAGTCAGAACTGCTTCTGACTCTGGATTACTACACATTTTCCCTGACATTTATTTTACAGAAACAAGAATCAGTTTCATGAAGTCAACTCAGACATGGGAGCTAAAAATGCAAGGAATTTGCCATGAAATAATAAAAATAATTTTATAAAGAAAAATAGAGCAATCATACCTAACATCACAGGAAACAAAGTGATTTTGGCATACTGAGTCTGAGACATGCACTGAAACTTCAGAATGATCTGGATATTTGGCATGGTTATCCCTTTATAATTCAGACTGACAGACGTATTGTGCTGTAGTACACATCTTGGCATTTCAGCTGAAGTAATTACATCACAGAATCACTGGATGGTTGAGGTTGGAAGAGACCTCTGGAGGTCATCTGGTCTAGCCCCCCCTACTTAAGCAGGGCAACATATGGTAAGTTGTCCAGGACTGTGTCCAGTTGGGTTCTGAGTATCTCCGAGGATGGAAACTCCACAACCTCTCTGGGTGCCAGTGCTTAGTCACCCTCACAGTAAATTAATGTTTCCTGATGTTCAGACAAAGCCTCCTGTGTTTCAGTTTGTTCCCATTGCCTCTGGTCCTGTCACTGGGCACTGCTGAGAAGAGTCTGGCTCTGCCCACTTTGCACCCTCCCTTCAGGTATTTGTATATATTTATGAGAGCCCCTCTGAGCCTTTTCTCCTCCAGGCTGAACAGTCCCATCTCTCTCAGCCTTTCCTCATAGGAGAGATTCTGCAGTCCCTAAATCATCTTAGTGGCCCTTAGATGGACTCTCTCCAGTATCTCTCTTGTACTGGTGAGTCCAGAGCTGGACACATTACTCCAGGTGTAGCCTCACCAATGCTGAGGGAAGCATCACCTCCCTTGACGTGCTGGCAACACTCCTGTTGCAAGCCAGGTCACAGCTGGCCTTCTTTGTCATAACGGCACATTGCTGCTTCATGTTCAACTTGGTGTCCACCAGGAGCCCCAGGGCCTTTTCTGCAAAGCTGCTTTCAAGCTAGGTAGCCCCCAGCATGTACTGGTGCATGGGATTTTTCCTCCAAATGTGCAGGACTTTGTATTTCCCCTTGTTGATCTGCACAAGGTTCCTGTCAGCACATTTTTCCAGCCTGGCAAGGTCCCTCCTCGCCCTCCCCTGGATGGCAGCACAGTTCTCTGGTGTATCAGTCACTCCTCCTAGTTTTCCCTCATCACCCTTTACTGAGGATACACTCTGCCCCACCATGCAGATCGTTAATGAAGTTGAACTGTTCTGGACCCAGTATGGACCCCTGGAGTACACCACTAGTTGCTGGCCTCCAACTAGACTTTGTTCCACTGGTCACCATCCCCTAGACTCCTAGTTCAGCCAGTTTTCAATTGACCTCACTGTCTGCTCATTCAGCCCATAATTCACCAGCTTCTCCCTGAGGATCTTAAGAGAGACAGTGTCAAAAGCCTTACTGAAGTCAAGGCAGACAATATCCACTGACTTCCACTCATCTACCCATCACAGAAGTTTATCAGGTTGGTCAAGCATGACTTACCCTTGATGAATCCATGTTGACTTTCCTAACCGCATTTCTGCATGCTTGGACAGTGTTTCTCTGTTCCCTCCAGGTTACCTGTGCCCGCTTCCACCCTCTGTTTACTCCCTCTTTGTGTTTGAGTTTTGCCAGGAGTTCCTTGCTCATCCATGCAGGCCTCCTGGTATTCTTGCCTGAGTTTCTGCTCATTGAGCTTAAAGGAAATGATCCTTGAGTATCAGTCATCTTTCTTG